GCCAACCCTCCACAGCCTGGTCCCTTATCTTGACCTCTCTGTCATTATCTGGGACCAGGTATGTGCTTACTTATTATTACCTATGACTACGATACTCAATATATCTCTGTCATTATCTGGGACCAGTCTGCCGCCGTTCTGCTTAGTCGCTCCGCCTTGTTGCCTTGTCCAGTTGCTCCGCCTCACCGTTCTGCTTAGTCGCTCCGCTTTCCGGCTCCGTTAGTCACTCCGCCTCTGCCGCTTCGTGACAGAGCCTAGCAATAGGGAATTAGCTAAACCGCACTTGTGCTATAGGCCAATGTCACCTAACTGGATTGCATTCCCGGATGTATCTCAACCTTTCGAGAAAAGTTTCTGCAAATGTTCACATGTGCCCCATCAACACGTCTGAGTACACATTTGCATTGTATCCATAAGTTATAACTCGGGCCGCAGGTATTTGTTCTGGCAAACGGTCCCGAAGCCACATAAATCTCTCTCTGGTTTTGGAATCATAATACTCCCATGACCGGAATGTGCCCATTCAGACCGTGCAGAGCGACTATGCTATCGAAGTGGTATATTTATAAGTGAGCCAATTGAAAATCATCCTCGCTTACTCTACTTGAGTGCCTTCAGACAAGACGGTATAACCGTCAAGGCTATCATCAAAGTCAAGTATTCTGTTATTCAGCATTCTGTCAGATGAAGTCAGGGACAACGCCTTTTTGAGAGTAGGTTCATCTGCGTATTCAGATACATACCTAATGTCTATCCCAATGACGACTGTGCGAGCCCCGTAGTGTTCTTGAATGAAGCCGTGCTCTAGGATAAAGTCGCTGAGCTTGCAGGTGAATGCAGCATCATCTACCAACTGAGTGGAGTTCTGCCTGAGGACAAATGACAGAATATATGTCAGGAAGGCTCACATGCCAAAGATCTTTGATTCCCATTCTAGAATTCAATACGGATATGTACTAGAGGTTGAGCAAGATGAGAGGACAGCCTCCTATTTTTATTCAGAGCATAACACAGAATAACATTCGGACTGCCAAACTAACGCCCGCTACAAAGCATTCTACAAAAGTTATCATAGAAACATTGTCCGCGCTTGCTGAATGAGCTTTGTATTATAAGACCCCTGCAGGCTGGTCTGGAAACTCCGCGCGCAATGTCATTGAGAAATGCCAACTTTGTTGAGTAAGGTTGGGTTTGCCGTCGGCGTTAACAGCCTGGCAACGCTTGGTTCTTTGTCTGGCATGGACCTTGATGCAGTGCAAGGTCAGCGTTAGGGCAGTAGTAGTGAAGGAGGTAGTGGTGAAAGAGGTAGTGGTGAAAGAGGTAGTTGTCAAGTCCATGCCGCGGGCCTCCATACCGCCGCCCGGGATTCCGAAGATCCATTCCTTATTGTAATCTCTTCCTATTGTTCTTTCTCGCTACACATATCCTTTCGTTCTAGTCTCTCATTATTGTCTTTTACTCTTTTGTTCTAGTCTCTCCTTATTGTCTTTTACTCTACCCTGCAGGTACTACTCGTATAGCTCCTAGTAGTTAGTCTGGCGCTCCGCACCAATGCGCCGTTCCGTAGATATAAATACTGCCTGTACGCTACTGTAGTTCCTCAGTTTAATTATCAACTTAGATCTCCCTTCTCAAACTTAGCTCTTCTCTAAGTCTTCAGGCTCAACGCCTTGAAGTACGTTCCACTCGACCTTAGGACTTGAACGTTCTCTGGTCCGCTCCTCGTCGTCGGCGATACCGCCGCTCCGACTTGGCTGCTCCTCAGTTCCTCCCTTCTCTACTCTCGATCTCCGGGGACTAACGGCATAACGGCGGTGTTGTTAATAACTTCACTACTGTCCCACTTGTCTTCCGCACTTAGACACCTTGTGGCTTTGGCACGGTTACACGGTGTACATGATCTTAACAGTAGTGGTGAAGGAGGATGGAACGTAAGCGGAAGCGAGGCATTTGCACCGTCCTGTTACCTGGTTAGGAATATAGAGAGTGGCATTCTGAGGAGGCGCAATTTGCCCGCATGTTGACTGTATACCGAGATATAACAAGCGGATGTTGAGGTATAGAGAGATCGACACCCGGGATAGCGGCATTCAGAGTTTTGAGAAGGCGATGATGGGATTGGAGAGGGTTTTTTCGCGATTGACTGGCTGGTGAGTAAAGCCATTGTGAGAATGGCGGCATGGGAAGATGGCGGCATGGGAAGGGAGAGCTGGAGGGACACCTTGAGGGCGCCGTGTTTCAGCAGTCCAACTGATTCACCTGTTGGTCAATCAGGTTTGGATGGAGTAACGAAAAAGGGTCTGCGCACCGGTAGACAAACTTATCCTTGTTGTGAAACTTAGCACCTCTATGTTGCGTGAGTTGGGTAATATAAAGGGCGAGAAAGACGGGGTCAGAAAATTTGAAGTTAAAAAGGTAGAAGATTCAGATAAGGCTAGAGTATGCGTTAGATGTGTTAGAAAGACCTAAATATTGATACGGTTCTGGACATGACGCACTGGGTCAAAGCTTTGTTTGAGGAAGAGAATACCCTTTGATCTTCACAAGAGAAAGGTCGTTGTCTTCAGCCGTTCGTACGGTATTCCCGGACAACCACATTCACTAAGAGAATAGGTAGTCACGTCGCAGTTCCGGTTCAAGCTTTTTTGTGTGAGAATGAGACGGAAATTTTGTGTGAGAGTGAGACGGAATTAGTGTAGCTGTGGCGTGGGTTGTGGACGGTTTGTTGGAGGCAGATTGGAGGTAAAGGTTTTGCTGGGATGGCTGTAACGGAGACGAAAGCGGATTGCGCGCTCAAACAGCGTTGTTACTTAACGCCGTTGCGCGTCTTTGTTCCTTAATGCTGTCACGCATCTTTGTTGACTGCATTCTCTCCTCTTACCCCTCCCACCACCGCCAAGTCTCATCCACAAATGGGCTCAAACCCAGGTGAGCTCTTTCATTATGCTTATATGTTTCTACGTTTCTCTCCCAGCTCGAATTTCTCAGCCAACAGACGCCCAGCCCCTCATCTAGGCAAGGCTCTGTTGGCTGAAAATTCGTTCTGGCTTTTTCTCTGAACGCGCCGCTATCTTTATCACAAACCCCCCTTGACCTCATGGACTTTACTGATTGAAACCTTCTACTCTCAGGCAATGGCGTTCCCACCACTCGCATAAAATTCCCTTCCTTCGACCTTTCTTCTGCCCTGGAGGTCGATAACGACGCGCGCATGGCTGCTGAAGACGCTGGAGAATCCATGGATGACGGAGAAGTAGATTTTGAGGATGCGTGCGCAGAGCCAGCAACCCCACTGGAACCTCCCAATAGTTATCCCGCTCTGTCCCGTAAAGAGAAGAAATACGCGAAGCTCACGGCACGTTCATGCGCAAAACGGGCTGCTGAAGCTGTTCAATGCATCGGTAGCAAGGGCGTAAAGCCCTTCGTTGTGGAGCTAGCTAAAGGGGCGCTTCCAGTTGAGCTTGAGGACTTCGATGCCTCTACTCTTCCCGTATTATCAAGCGGCTGGAACGCTAACCCTCGCAAGAAGCTGTCTCATGGCCTCCAAAGGGTTTGGAAAAACCTTGAACTCTTGACCTCAAATTCTGGATTGAAACTTCTTCGGTGGGACGGGCAGTGCGTTTACAATTCCTCCTAGTAAGGGATTTTGCTGACTACTATCTCTAAATCTTGTAGGAGTTGCATAGTGCTGGTCGACGCCCACGATCACATCGTTGCGGTCCTTGGCGGTGTTCCTCACGGGTCCAAAGGGAAAGAATGGCAGGTAGTGGAAGCTGCTGCTGCTACAAAATGCCGTGAATCTAGCACTTTCACCGAAGCCCAGAAACACGGTCGGCGTGGAGATTTTGCCTCTCGGACAGTTGGGTAAGGCTATGGCAACGGGCGGTGCAAACTGCAGAACTATAGAGTCTCTGGTAAGGCCAATCAGAAAGCCATTGTAAGACCTGGGTTAAAATGGGTCTTAGGGTAGGTTTGGTATATGAAGTTTTATGTTGTAGCGTGCTAGGAGCAGGCTGGAGCTCGAAGGGAGCTACGAGAACCGCGACCGAGGACGAGAATGACCTAGTAGTGTCTGGAACGACGAGATGATGACCCTTGAGGGGGTCCCTAGGAGGTCCAGGGAGGTCCCTAAGGCGTAGGGAGGTTAAGGAAGAGTGCGGGACCGTACAGTATTGCGTAGTAGGAGTTGTACTCGCTAGAATGTCAATATAGGATCGAGTAGGTCGTATATGCAACTGGGTCTCGAGAGTGTAAGCTCCCGAGAAGGGATATGTCAGGAAGGGTAGGTCCCTGGGGGCTGAGCTTGAGGATGGACGTCCTCGAGTGTGGGAGGTGGTAACGGAGAAGCAATACGTAGTCCGACGTGAGGGGTAGCTTCGACGTTACCTAGATCGAGGTCCCAAAGCTTACGAAGTAGCTAGGGAGCTCTGGGAAGTTTGGGGAAGGGTAGCTCACCAAGGCGGGTAGGCGTTGGGGAGCTTTAGTAATGTTCGAGGGAGCTCGGGGACTCACTCGGAAGGCTTAGACTTGAAGTGAAAGCGTATATTCGATCGTATAGATGATCAGAGAGACAATAGACAGAGGTAGAGAGAAACAGAAGTAGAGAAACAGAGAGTAAAGAGAAATCCGTATGGTTAGCAGGTACAAAGGGACAGGGACTGGACCTATGCAAAAGGGTGTGTGTTCAAAATATACCAAGCTGGGGCTTCGGGACATTGCGGCGTTACTTAAATAGGTACGGGAAGTGAACAAGAGAACATCTGGAGGCATGAGGTAGCTAATCGGAGGGAGGGAGGTAATCGAGATTAATACTTAAAGGGGTTATCGGCTAGAGGGCTTTCGTACGCGTGTCGGGGTGAAGGACGTTTGGGTAGTGGCGTCAGAAATACTTGGGGAGGTGTCTGGTGGTACTTGGGGAGGTGCGGAGGGCATACAGGAGGTGGGTAGGACGTATGGTAACGTGTGGTGGTTACTGGGACTGGTCTGGTTGTAGCCAGGGCATGACAGCCGTGCAAGAGCTTCTTCAAAACAAGGCAATTCAGCGGATCTCAGGCTTTCAAAACGGTATGTGCTACGCCTTTCTTTCCCCCAACGGTTTGAACCTTGCCTGGTTTCTTTCTAGCTCTCTTCAACATGTTCGGCCACAAGAACTACCTTGAACACAAGGTCACAAATGATGAGCTGCTTCATAAGCAGCCGGAGTTGCGAGCCAACTTCCCCAACAATGCTTTTGCTGCGACAACCTTCAACCTGGGACCCCTCTCCTTTTCTCCACCCCATATGGATCCTGATAACCGTGCCTCCAGCTGGTGTGCTGATACCCCCATGGGTCCCTTCAACCCTGACCAAGGTGGCCATCTTGTGCTGTGGGACCTCGGGCTCGTTATCCGCTTTCCTCCTGGCTCCACGATCCTTTTTCCTTCTGCGCTTATCACGCATTCTACCATCCCCATTCAAGCAGGTGAGACCCGCTATGCAATGATACAATATTCCTCAGGAGGTCTTTTTCGCTGGCGTGAAAACGGGTTCCAATCTGATAAAACATTCCTGGCAACAGCTAGCCCTGAAGAACTAATGGCTCGCGAGTTAGCACGGGTGTCACGATGGAAGTTGTCTCTGCAGAAATTCACTCGTTGGACAGACATTTGTCATGATGATTGGAGGGGTACAGCCCGTACCAAGGCTGGTTTAGATGAGCTAAGTGAACTTTCAGACCTTGAGGAGCCATTGCCTGCTTTACGTCCCACTAAACGCCTTTGTTGCCGGTAACCTGTCAATTAATAATGTTCAACATTGTTGTATGAAATATAAGCTCGTGTTATCCTTCAATTCCTTATCTTCATGAGCGTAGCGAGTGCTTACACTAAAACAGAAGTTCCCCTCATGGCCAAGCCAAACCTTGCGACAACCCTGCTTTGATAATAGGGGTTAAGCACCATATAAAAACCCCACTAATTCTGTCGTATACCTCACAACCAATGGTGGTTGATATTTCCTCTGACAGAGGTTTCAACGGTCTTCTCAAGGCTGTTACACTAGACAACCAATCGAATCCTGCTGACATCCTCGATGATCTTGAAGAGAGCTATGACACTGCGAACTTAGACATAAGCTCTAGCCAGAGCTCAGATTATCTGTCAGGGCTCAACGACGCAGTCAGAGATATTTCTAAAGGTGTATCAGAAAAAACAGCTAAAGAATATCTTCGGTACGTGCTATAAATTGTTCAATACAGCCCTGTTAACCTCATCTACCAGCCTCATGAAACAATGTCAAGCATTTCTGATTGAATGGCAAATGATAAGTCGAGAAAGCCAGTTTTTTTGTCCCAATCCCCATCCTCAAGCTGCAGTATATATTGTTGCATGGATCATGGAATCATAGGTCCAAGGCTCAACCTCTGGTGTTCTCTGTCAGATTATGAATTTCTTCCAGCTGCAATACAATAAGTCTCAACGGTAGCTCAATTCCAGCAAGTGTAGAAAAATCAACCTATACACATGCTCAGAAGATGCAAGCAGCTGCTACATTTGGATTTGGACGGATTCATGGCTTAGGAATGCAGGCATGGCACAGCAGTGAAATTACGGGGAAGATGCTTGGCAATCCATCTATTTCTGAGATCGTTTCTACTTATATGCTCAGCCTTCGTCGTTGGAAAGCAAGTTATTACTTTCAAACACCTTCTCTTTTGTTCTTAACATAACATTTCGTAGACACAATCAGGGGACACTCCAACCAGTGCACGAGCAGTCACATCAGTAAGTATCTCCATCACTTGAACCTTACCTTTGTCTGAAGTTTCGACCTCTTAGGTGCTACTCGAAAGCCTTTATTATTATAACAAGCAACCCGAGTTTCAAAAACCTAAGGCTTATCAATCCACTTCTCGTAGTGGTCTGAAAGGCCAGTTAGGTGCATATTCTCGAACCCTGTTGATTCTTGGTTATGTTATTGCCTTCTGTGCATTACTCCGCATCGATGAGTTATTAAAGATTCAACTGCAAGATATAACGACATCCAAGGATCCCAAAAGTGGACGGGGTATGCTTACTCTTCGCCTTCCGTTTCGGAAAACTAGTCAGTTTGGAGGTAAAGTTGAATAGGACTTATATCAAAACATGCATCCACTTACTACAGGCTTCGAACTTCACTAGATATCAAGCCGTTTGTTTTCTGGGAAATGCCAGAAGAATATCAGCACCTGTGTGTGGTACGGGCCTATGCAAGATGGGTTCGGATTACAGGACTGGAAGAAGGATACCTTTTTCGAAAAATACGGGCAAATGATCATCTCGCAGAAGAGAATGAACCAATGGTAAATTCTATCAACTCGTCCCTTTGTTATTGCTCAATATACTTGTAGACATCGGAACAGTTTCTTGAAATGTTTCGCAACAATCTCTTGGATATTGGCATTGACTTTATTCCCTATGGAACTCATTCATTTCGACGTGGTGGGTGTCAATGGCTGTCAGTGGAACGTCGGTGGCCTTTGCGTCAAATTTGTGAGTGGGGTGGATGGAGTCAGGAGTTCACACACCTAACCATTGTGAAATATCTGATTTCCTGGAATGATAACCCTCATGTGGATCGAGACGATTTTTTCAACATGGACTGTGCCCCAACTATTGTTTGTCCCACCTGTAATCAATCATGTCACTGTGCTTAGAATATAGAGCAACTAGTCTTTTTCATTAAACCGAGTTGTAAATTACATTATGAATTTCGAGATAGAGCATAAGATTGAATAAAAGAAATTTATAAAGCAGAAAGTTTGGCAAGGTCACAATAGCGACGGGCAATGGCGGAATTATCAGTAAGTACTTTGCCTTTATTTGTCACAAAAACCTCGGAAAAACGAGCACCGTACTCGAGCTTTGCTTTGTGTACAAGATGCTCTTCATGTACAGCACGAATTTTGCGCAGCCGATCTGTGATGGCCTTCCAATGGAGACGTTCACCATTGCTCAAGGAAAACTCTTTCCAAAAGTCCTCAGGACTGCTAGCGCGGTATCGCTCTGCAACATACTGTATAGAATTAAACATAGAATTCAAAGGATATTACACAGAGAGAGAAAATACCTTCCATTCTGTCCAGTACTTCTTCAACCAACTCCAAGTCCCATCTCCTTTGCCACGAAAAACGTCGCACCAGTACCGAAGTGCAATCGCAGTGCCATTAATCTCGAGGAGATTTCTACCGCAGTCAAGTTGGTCCCAGTTTGGTCCTTCATCATCCCATACGCGGTCCAAACGAGCAATGTCAGCAACAAAGGATATTTGTCGGGGTTCACGAACATCTCTATACTTGTATTTGATGACCTTTCCATGTGCGATATCAAGGTAATTGAACTCCGCAGCTTCTACTGAACTCTGGATGAGAGCAGCCACATTCACTGATGACTGGTTGGCAGTTGTTCCACTCACAGCTGATAAGTCAACCACGGCGTGGTTTACAGTAGTTACCGGAGGTGTTGCAACAGTTGGTAAGGTAGGTACAGCAGCACGGTAGACTGCCAGGGCTGATGCCAGCCCAGGTTGGAGAGAGTTGCCGAGTATACCTGGTAAGGGATATGAGAGAAATATTACCTGTCCGAAATTGGAACCTACCAGGATTCGTCAAAACTCCTGGGTGCTGGGTGAGCATTGCAGACGATAACGGTCCCAGCCCAAGCCTTTCAAAGGTTGCTGTAAGGTTAGAGATTTGGGCCTCCATCGAACGCATGAACTCTGCCAACTTGACCTGCCCAGAGAGAATTTTTTTGAGAACGATGTTTGAGCAAGTGCAAATGAACAAACCGTGGTAGTTGCTTGCTCAGCAGCCTTTGCCTCCTCTCTAGCTTTCCGCCTGCATATGATTTCTTCGCGCGGGATGTGTGGGTGAGCGTCGTCAAATTCTATTGCCTAATGAAAGTGTAAGATCAGCCAGTAAGAGTAATTGGAAAGCGAACATAGTACACACCTGTGAGGCCCCGGCACAGAAGGCCTGCTCTGGTCTTACCCAGACTGGGCCTAAGCGAACGCAGTAGCCGCCTAGGCCGTACGAGGAGGTATGGGATAGTGCCGATACTGGTGAGGGGAGCCTAACCAGGGGTAGTTGTGGAGCTTGGGTAGACCTAATAGAGGGTCCTGGAGGTGTAGAACGTAACACGTAACCACCGCTTCGATGTGGAGGGGAGGTGTAGCCAATACGAGTGGGAAGCTGTGGGGAGCTTAGGGAGCAATGAAGCGGAATTGGGAACCTAATGGGAGGTTCCAAAGGATGAAGGACGAATTGTAGAGCCTCGACGTAGATGGTGAGTCAAAGTAGAGGCGTAGACAATACGAGGATTGACAGAAAGAGGCCAGAGATAGGAAACAGAGAGGAGAAACAGAGTTGAGGTGAGACAGAGATAAAGGAAACAGATAATGAGGAAATATATGACTGTTGAGACGTGTCAGGCCCTGTTAGCAAGTACTAGTAGACTGTACTAAAGGGACCAAGCCAGGTAGGAAGAGTTTCCAGGTAAGATTTGACAATAACACACTGGGGAGCTCCGAGGGGAGTCCCCAGCCTATATACTGTACATGAGGCTGTCAGGTACATATGTCATGTGGCTACTGGAGTGACAGGTAATATGTACAGTAAAGATCGTAAGGATGGTGCATAGAATATCGGAAACATGTATAAGTGATGAACCGGAGCTCTGGAAAGGAAAGGGAAAGGTCCGGAGAAGCAAGGCATGACATCAGTGCTCTCTACATTTGTCAGCAAGCTCGGTTGAGCGAATACTTATCTTATCTGAATCTAATGAACAAATTGACATGGACGAGCTCAACGAACTTGAAGCCGATCCTCTTGCTGCTGAATCCGAGGATGAACTTGAAGACTTAGACAAGAGAAGAAGTATTACACAAAATCTCACAGATAGGGTAAGGAAGGATCTTGGTGCCAAATGTATGCATGCAAACTATACTATCGTAGTCTTCTTCAGAGGAATTCACAAGTTCTACAGTTGACAAATGGCATGTCAATAATCCCTCTATTCAGAAAGAGGCTGAAAAGCGACGAAAGAATGCTGAAAGACAGAGGATTTTGCGTGTAAAGAGGAAAGCCGAGAAGGAAGCAGCAAATGCAGATTCCGAAGATCACTCAGACCATGAGGTGAATCGCCACCATCCTGCAAAGAAAGCACGTGTTCAGGCTCCAATAGAGGCAGTAAAGGATGTCGAAGCTGAAATGATTGCATATATACGGGTATGACTCCATAACCTACATTGAATGCTGATTCTGGAACCCTTTATAGATTCGTAAGGATATCGTGCAGCCTGCTGCATCTGGATTCCGCGGCAAAGGCAGACAACCTGCTAATCCAAACCCAAATGACGAAACATTGTTCTCATCCCGTGGTCCTATCTTTGTTCCTCTTGCAACACCATATGATTCCTTCCTTGCTATGATTTCGAAAAGTCTTCCTTGCCCCGTTATCGATATTGTTCAAAATTCAATTCAATACCAAGCCCAGTCTCCGAAAACCTCTCCAATTCTTCCCACTGGAAGCCACAATGCTTTCAAAGCCATGGTTATGCACTTTACAACACAGAGTAGGAAGAAAAATGCAAATCTGTCTCTTTTCATTTACATGGACAAGCCGATGAAGAGCAATGGGCCGGTAGGTCATTATCATCTAGGTTATAATTTGAACTAATCTATTTATAGACCTGGGATACTGGCGAAGGAGATCTCGAGGACCTGTTTGATTTTTTGACTGTTGAGGCATTCACTGGTTTGTCATCAGTGAGCCTGAGTGCTCAAAAGGTACAGTTCAGTTCCCTTGGCTGCCTCCTTATATACTAATACTCTCCAGGCATCCATAGACGAAGCAAGCAAACCTTTTCTGGATGTTCTCTGTGAGAAGTACGTTACTGGAAGTAATTTACTTTACCTGGGAATTAGGGTCTACACGGATACAAGGGGTGAATCCTGGGAGTTGAATGACACCCGACTGTCAACTTGGGCCTCACATATGGTGCGTCACTAAAATAAATATACTACATCAACGTAACATGAATGACAGGCACGTCGTACTCCTGGAGTAGATGATAGCCATCCACCAAATACGGCTTGGTTCAATGGAACATATATTCTGAGACCTCTCACTACACCTGCCGCTATTACTACTCCCACTCCTATGCCTGCTGCTATTCCTACTCCAGCATCTGATATCTGTCAAGTCTATGCCTCGGTGCCCCACTTCGCCGCTCGGTATTCTGAAGATCCGTCTTTATTGTAATCTCTCCTTATTGTTCTTTCTCGCTACACATACCCTTTCGTTCTAGTCCCTCCTTACTGTCTTTTACTTTACCCTGCAGGTACTACACGTATAGCTCCTAGTAGTTAGTCTAGCGCTCCGCACCGATGCGCCAATCCGTAGATATAAATACTGCCTGTACGCTACTGTAGTTCCTCAGTTTAATTATCAACTTAGATCTCCCTTCCGACTTAGATTCCCTCCTTAACTCTGTGCTTCTCTAAGTCTTCAGGCTCAACGCCTTGAAGTACGTTCTACTCTACCTTAGGACTTAGACGTCCTCTGGTTCGCTCCTCGTCACTGGTGATACCGCTGCTCTGACTTGGCTGCTCCTCAGCTCCTCTCTTCTATACTCTCGATCTCCGGGGACTAACGGCGTAACGGCGGTGTTGTTAATAACTTCACTACTGTCCCCCTCGACCTCCCGCACTTAGACACCTTGTGGCCTCTGGCACGGTTACACGGTGTACATGATCTTAACAATATCCGCGAACGGTTCATGGACTTTGCAATGATGTCAATGATGCACAATATGTCCCAGCAGGCACCGGCAGTGCAGCGCACTCTGTCTATGTCAGCTATTCAGGCTTCTTCAGCCCCTGCTTCCCCTATACAACTTGCCTGCATATCATTCGATGAATTCTGCTCATTCTACGGGGTATCGGAGACAGATAAAGGCCGACTCACGGAGTTAGAATATCAACCGGGTAACCGAGCAATTAAACAAATGGTCAAGGCAGAATGGTCAAGCGTTGGTTTCAAATTCCTTTCGTGGTCAAATATCCTTACTGTACATAGAAAGTTCATCAGCGATGTCAAGTCCAGTGCTTGGGATCATATCATGCAGGTGTAGGTTCATATATTTCTGTTCCGTTTCACAAGAACCTTATTGTATGTCACTCGTAAATACATTCTTTGTGCTACTATACCACTCATTGTATTCATAACAATCAGTACCATGTTATTTTTCAAACTACTGCTCTACTGTTCTATGATAATATAACCTGCGTGAAGGAACCAACCCGTAGCCATTTCAGCTGTAATACATCCACATGCATCCAATAATGCCAACATCGGATCGGGTGCTTGTTGTATCATGATTGCATTCCGTCGCAGATACATTTTCCCTAAATAAGTATCAGCATCGAGAAGTCATGAGCTATTAGAAAACTATACATGTGCTGAATGACTCTTCGATTGGATTCAAATCTGGGGAATAAGGAGGTAAAAAGAGAACAATAACACCTTTGAAGTGCTGTTAGTCAGATGGAAGTAGTGGAGTTTTGGACTCACCGAGAGCATTGCAAGACTCAAGAAGCATGTCCGAGTGATGTATTCGACAATTATCCATGACAAGGACACTGTGTTGATCAGGGAATGGCTTCATTTGAGGCAGCTGAAAGAGAGCAATTTCAGTTACAAAGAGAACAAAAAGATATTCAGATCATCACGTATCACCTCATCAATGATAAAGTCAAAGAACTCGAAAGAATCCAGTGATCCTTCTACGACCCGCATTGCAATATATCCCTCAAGGCTCATAGCAGCAACAAGTGAATATCGCTGACCACGGACAAATGGTGCGTTGATCTCAGCACGTTGTCCCTTCATAGCATAGCCATATCGCCGTGTAAGGGTGCGCTCGTCCTTGCTAGACTCATCCACAGTCACAAACTCGCATCCAGTGCCTGAGAATTCATTCTTGATGACCAAGCAATACTCTGCTCGTAAAACTTCATCCCGTTCTTGTGCAATCTTCCGCATGAGCTTCCGGGTCAAGCCAGCCTTTCGAAGATTGTCATGAAGAGCTGATTTCGATATTACAACATCATGATGCAAAGCAAGAAACCACACAAGCTCATCAAGGTAGCTATCAGGGTGATGATTATATATCTCCTTCATGGCAGTGAGGGCAGCAAGAGTGATCATTCGAGGACATCCACGAAGAGGAGATGGAGGTTTGACAACTGAGTCAAATTCATTGAAGATTTGGATCCAACAATAAAGGCTTGCTGACAATATACCCAGTGCTGAACAGATGTCGGAACAGTCCCAGCCACGCTCCCAGAGATCCAGAGCACAGTTTTTGAGATCGGGACTGATCCTGCGGTTAACCATTCAGAACAAAGAGATGTATAGTAACATTGTTTCAGACTATTTTATATAAGGTAATAATCTATGTGATGCACGACATGCGACATCTCGAACAAGTTTTTATGATTCTCATTATTTTCTGAAACCGCTGTAAATAGATTTGATGCAAGTGCCGAGCAGTCGTTATGACTGGGAAAGAGACGTAGACAGCCACAGCAACGATCAGGTGTCTCTAACTCTGGACCGTCGATGTTTTGAGATTGCCCCAATCTGTCCAGAGTATGGCTGCCACCAGTCAGTGTCTCTAATCGGCATACATAGAGCAGGTGAGTTCTGCATTTAATGACTTTCGGTACATCCAATTCGCATACCAGAGGCTCTAGCACAGTCAATGTTGGAAATGGCATGCACCGACCGGCCGCGAGCATACTGTTATCTTTGTACGTTGCATCATTATTTTATGTTTTCATTTCGTCTTATTCCTAACAGATAGGTCAACGAAGACACATAGGGAAATTCACATTTCCTCAAAGCTGGCCTGTTGTCTGGGCCACGATCATTGAACTGATTCTTTTAAGTGCGGCTACTGCTTGAAAGTATGTGATTTCTCTCCTCTTCGAATGAGTAGTAGCTAACATAACAACAGGTTCACTAGATAATACCTTACCTATACTAATGTCTTGATTGTACACTCAAAATCAAATCAAAGAACAACCATCCCAATGATCCCATCCAAAATAAATCAATAACATGACATCACTAAATCACGGAGACTCTTGAGAAGGATTATCATGTCGAATAAGTAGTATAAGAAAGTAAAATAGGTACAATGTTGCTACAATGTTGTATCATCCATGTCAACCCTTATGATGCTCTATTATGGGTGCCCCAATTCGACAATGATTTTCTAAAATTCTCAGCAGGGTTAATTGTGTTTCAGCCTTGAAATAAATGAACGATTTTCCCGGGAACACTGTCAGAATGTGGCCGCAGTTAATCGGATTTGACAATCCTTTACTACAAAGCAAGAACATTATCCTTACATGCTAAACACTCTCCAATATTCCCGCAACATTCTATAAGTAAAGCCATGGTGTTTCACACCTCAGATTACCTTAATGAGTGGCGAGAACAATGACCATAGCTTGCACCCTATTTACAATCCTGTTCCGTCTTCGGAGAAGAGCTACAACAAAGACAGGCCTTTTACACTGTGGTTGAATGAGAAAGTGTGTTTGTCATTGCAAATAATCATTCAAATTGTTTGAAATTGCCTTTGATGATTCGAGCAATAGCGGGGCATACATTGATTATTAGTTATTATGTGATGAGTATTACATACTAGTAAGGAAACGGGCGCGCAACTATAAGATATCTGGAAAAGGTAACGAGCAACCTCAACGCGCATGCACAGCACACGACCTGAGACACCCAATAAAATCATAAACAAGATGGGGTAACTAAGGAGGGGCCGAGGCCGTAGGAGCATTTGCATCATTACTAGCAGTGGGCGCCGCAGCTGTGATAGAAGCTTTTGCTGAACGTTGTTCTTCCAGAGTAGATTGAAAATGGAAAGATGGCTTGAGACTGCCCGAAGCATCCTCTTCTGCAAAAGCTTGCCTATAGATCAGGTGAGGGATGAATGCCTTAATAGAATTGAAGACGCACTCATTCCACCATTGCAGCAGTTCTGCTAAGTGTTTCTGCACCTCCTCGTCTTCTGGGTCTGCAGCCTCAAAGTAATCAATCATTTCATTGTACAGACCTTCATAATTGAACGAGCGGTCTTGTCCCCATTTTTTGGCATTTGAGAGAGAGAAGCGAAGCTGTAACAGGTCATGGGTCAACAGAGATAAAAGTATAAATAGAGGGGCATGCACCAGTACGCAGCAGTATGCAATGGTTTGCGGAGTGACTTTTTTGAGGCCATAAAGCTCAGCGAGACTCTGTTTTGTTGATGTCCTAGCCTTGTTACTTTGCGGGACTGGTGCCGGGGTATTGCTGACTTTGTGTGAGCTTGAGATCTCATCGTCCGAAATAGAGCCGCTTGCTCGGAAAATTTGATGCCAAGTCTAATAGCTGTCAGCAACGAGAAAAATTAACCACCAAACACATACCTGGATGAGTAACGTGCCATGAAGGAACCCATCTTCGACATCAGTTGGATTACCTTCTTCATCTCGATAGAAAGCACAAATGAAGAATGAAGTGTTTGTCTTGATCTCTTTGTTTTGAATTTTGGAACGTACCCTTTATTTGCAACATCAGCATGACATCGTCTGCCCTATATAACAGAGAACGTACACTGGATCACTCTAATCATGTTCTATAGGACAAAGTAACTTCCCCGTTAGATCATGTTTGAAGCCTCGAAGTTCACGGCTATGGTTGAGGAGCAAAGGATCGGCACGGAAGGGAATCGGTCGAAAGTTAAACCAGTTTGCAAGCTCAATCATGAGTGTATGAACATCATCACTACGGGCTGAGATACTGCCAGTTTGTAACTACAAAGCGCATTAGTGTCACCTTCTGGGCGTCACAGAAATCAGTTACTGCTCACCTGCTTGCACAGACTGAGAATAGCACCTACATCTGTTCCTGCCAAGTCTACTGCCTTTTGGAAACCAGGTACTGTTCCAGCAACAATATGGTATGCTCGTATATCACGCTGTGTTCTGAAAGCAAGCTGTTATTGAAGGAAAATTAACTTTGACAATATAAAACTCACTTGCGCTTTTCCATCTGATGTACAAAATATTCCTCTAACTCTTTCTCATCAAGGTCAACAGGATCTTCTTCTTTGGCATCAGTTTCATCAGCAAAAAATATCCTGACCAGAGACGCAATGGGTGTGTATAGTGTTGCGATTCTGCCCAAAGCTTGTCCTTGATTCTCAATTGATTTTCTGCAGGTGGATTGAGTATACTTTCACCAACTTAAACTGAAACACTTACTCCGCACCCTGGCGTCGACTTTTCTTGGAATTCGAGGCATTTTCAAGCTGCAGAGCATCAATCTTTCGTTTCAACTTTTGGTTTTCTTGAGCCAAGTTCTTTGCCAATGAATCCACATGAGCTACTCTGGATTTGGAGCGGCTTTGATGATGATGTTTCCGAGAAGAGCCAGACCTGGAGTGAGAAGAGGAACGAGAATGGGAATTGTGGTCTGAAGGCTGAATATGACCTGAGCGAGTCGAACGGTCATGATCAGAATGATGACTGCTTTCAGTCTCTGATGAGGACATAGGAATAAAGAGCAAAGAAAGAAAGGGCGAGGTAGTGCAAAAAATTTGAGAGCAGTTTTTGATAACCATTTCCGGAGGTACCTGTTTGTCATGTTGGAAACCAATATATCACTAATTTTTTTGCAATATGCAGACACGTTATTCCACTGGGTGACCAGTACATATGTTCGCAACTTGGGACTCTCAACAACCATGATTCAGTACCACAGGTGTATGGTTCCATATTTCCTACTTTTTGTCCTACTTCTTGCAAATATAATGCCCACTTGCATTGCAACCTGCCAGAAATCGTTCTCTAGCTCGAACTCACTTCAACAACATCAGCGAATTTGCAAACATTATGCCAGTGATTTCGAGGCAGTAGTTGCAGCCCATGTGAGCAAACGTTCATCCGAAGGAAGCATAGATGGGCAAACTTCGAAAACACTTGGCGCAGTCAAAAAACGCAAAGTTCCCTTGAAGAAGACTGATGCTGCTGAATTTGAACCGGTACGAGATATTCAATGAGTGAAGCACTATTCTAGAGCTAATGACATTACAGGCTCCTCAAAGCCTGGTGTCTGAGAAAATAAGCTCGACTGTCCCACCGCTTCTTTCTCCTTCCCCACCTCCTGCACCCTTGCCTTTGCTTAATCGGGCTGGACGGCCCATGAGGAGTGCTGCCATTCCAGCTCCACCCTGTGATGTCTTACCACAAGCACCTCCAGCTGTTCTCGATCACACGGTAGTTATGGAGTCCAATGAGCCAACCCATCGTATTTGACATGTATTCCTCATAGTGCAAGACACACTTAAAACTCACCTCAATCCATTCCGTCTATTCTGCCTTTATAAAGACTGGCCTTCATATGATCCTGATGCTTTCGTTTCACTGGATGATCTTTCGAAACAAACCCGCACCAGTATCCCTCTGCAGCCACAGCCTTCTAGTTCTAGTTCAGGATCCAAGTCTAACCCAGTATGGCCATTCAACAACATGTCCACTTACTGAATCATGCAATGGCTCAACACAGGAAGCTCTTTGAAGTCGGAAGGGGAAACTACTCGGCTTGTTGAGGAAGTTCTCATGGCACCTGATTTCAATGTCGAGGATCTCGAGGGCTTTAAAGCACACCGAGAGAATTTACGAGCTGATAAAGCTAAGTTGCCGGAATCATCCAATTATCTTGCTGGTTTTGAGACAGCCAGTGTGGATATACGTGTACCGTCAGGTCAACAAAATGTTCCCTCGGAAACATTCTCTGTTCCAGGCCTTCACTACCGACCACTTCTTTCAGTGATTAGGGAGGCATTCTCAGGTCCTTTATCCGACAAAATACACTTCTCACCTTTCAAGCTTTTCCACCAATTGCCATTGTCAAATGAAGAAATCCGTGCACACGGCGAGTTGTATACATCTGACTCCTTCATACAAGCTCACGATAAAATCCAACGTGTCCCTCTTCCCCCTGATGAATCTGATTGCAAGCTTGAGCGAGCTGTTGCTGCGGTTATGCTATGTCGGATGCCACTCATGTAGCCAATTTCGGTACAGCACAGATGTGGCCTATTTATCTGATGCTCAGAAATATCTCGAAATATGTTCGAGCTTTGCCAGATTCAGGGGCATGTCACCATTTGGCATATATTCCTTTGGTATGATATTCTCCTTAGTTTGGTACGCTGCTAATGGGCTTTCAGTTACCTGACTCCTTTCAGGATTTTGCAATGAGATTTCATTTTAAATGGAAGTGTCATGCCCTGACCATAATCAGACCAGCCCCAGCATCAGCCCACACATTCTCACATTCCCGACTCTCCTTGCACCTCCCCAGGACATCCCTGAGGCAGTATGCACCTCCCCAAGACAGTACCACCACCCCCTGAAAACGTCCGGACAACCATTCCGACACGCGTACGAAGCCCTCCGACACCAGCCCCATTAAGTACCAATCTCGATCGCCTGACTCTCTCTTGATTATCTGCCTCATGCTTCCTAGGTTCTGATGTTCCCTTGTTCACTTCCCGTACCTATTTAAGTAGCTCCGCAACGTCCCCAAGCCCCAGCTTGGTATATTTTGAACACACACCCTTTTGCATAGGTCCAGTCCCTGTCCCTTTGTACCTGCTAACCATACAGATTTCTCTTTACTCTCTGTTTCACTACCTCTGTTTCTCTCAACTCTTGTCTATCGTCTCTGTGATTGTCTATACGATCCAATACACGCTTTTACTTCACGTCTAAGCAATCCGAGTGAGGTCTCGAGCTCCCTCGAACAATACTAAAGCTCCCCAACGCCTACCGCCTTGGTGAGCTAACCTCCCCAAACCTCCCCGAGCTCCCTAGCTATTCTATAGGCTTCAGGACCTCGATCTAGGTAACGTCGAAGCTACCCCTCACGTCGAACTACGTACTGCTTCTCCGTTACCACCTCCCACACTCGAGGATGTCCATCCTCAAGCCTAGCCCCCAGGGACCTACCCTCCCTGGCACATCCCTTCTCGGGAGCTTACACCCTCGAGACCCATCTACACATACGACCTACTCGATCCTATATTGACGTTCTAGCGAGTACAACTCCTACTACGCAATATCGTACGGTCCCGCACTCTTCCTTAACCTCCCTACGCCTTAGGGACCTCCCTGGACCTCCTAGGAACCCCTCAAGGGTCACCATCCCGTCGTTCCAGCCACTACTAGGTCATTCCCGTCCTCGGTCGCAGTTCTCGTAGCTCCCTTCGAGCTCCAGCCTGCTCCTAGCACGCTACAACATAAACCTCCATATACCAAAACCTACCCTAAGACCTATTTTGACCCAGGTCTTACACCTTGCCCTCGGTGTTTGATACGGAAAGCTTCATTTGACTGAATGGGCTTGGTTCGAGATATGCAAATGCGCACCCGGAATATTCGAACCTACTTTGTGAATAAAGTTAATCGCGTTCAGCACTTCATCTATAGCATGGGACATCCAATCAATGGTGTCCATGTTGAGAACTTGTTGAAAGATTCCTCGTCGGTGCCAACAGAGGTAACTTAGAGTTTATTTCTGTCTATGACACTTGAATTGACACAATTTATGTAGAACGCTTTCATGGAACGCCTTGGAATTGCAGACTTCGAGCTTTCAAAACTGCTGGTTGTTGATTTCCTCCATGAGTTTGAGCTTGGGGTTTGGAAAACACTATTCAAGCACCTCGTTCGACTTCTGTATTCTTTATCTGATGGCACCGAGAAGGTTACAGAGCTAGACTCAAGGTGATCACTCTTAGTGCGTAGCTCGAGCACCATGACTCATGCTCTCTACCAGGTTTCGGTGCATATCCACATTTGGGGTATCTACAATATGACAGTTTGCGAATAATGCATCAGAGATGAAGAAACTAGCTGCTCGTGACTTTGAGGACCTTTTGCAGGTACGCCAACTTCTTGCTATACATGATGGTAATATTCAAAATCAAACAGTGCGCCATTCCTGCTTTCGAAGGTCTTCTCCCAGATGAGCATAATGCTCGGCTTATGAAGCTACTTTATCGGTTGGGAGAATGGCATGCCCTTGCCAAGTTACGGATGCATACGGATCTCACGCTTAGGGACTTGAGTTCTTGTACAGCTGTGGTTGGGACCCTGATGCGTGAATTTCGTGATAAAACATGCTCTCAATTCGACGTATTTGAACTTCCCAGTGAACAACAAGCCCGCTCTTGACAACAGGCACAAATAAATGCTCAGCGGCATTCAGCAGCTTCTTCTCAGCCCAGTCAACGCAAAGACACCTCACGAAAAGCACGAACTTTGAATTTATTCACTTACAAGTTTCATGTCATGGCCGATTATGTTCCCGCTATACGCTGGTTCGGAACAATTGACTCTTATTCAACTCAGCTTGTGCGTCTTTGGTTTCCCTCCCATCTTCAACTCTCATATCTCTGTGATCCAGGGCGAGCTTGCACACCGTCTTGTTAAACGACTCTATGGCCTAACCAATAAACGTCAACACAAAGATCAGATAGCTCGTCAATATAACTGTTCAAAAATGCTTGCCAATGCCCGCTTTGCAAAGAAGAAAGCAGACATGAAGGGTAAGACCTGTGCCATTCCATCTAACGTAGCCTATGATATGGCTCATGCTCATCAAGTCAGATTTGGAGAAGGGACTGGACCAGAGGATCTTGATATCCCATTAGATGTACATCACTTTATGTCCAATCGACGCAATCATCCTGTACATCTCACCCCTTTCCTTCTCCAGCAACATTCTGACCCGGCCAAAAAAGTACGTGCTGGGCATTTCAGAACCTAACCGATTGAACTGATACATTATCTCTTGCAAAACTTTGTCTCAAAACTTGAGGATCACCTGCTTGGACGTCTCAAGGAGATACCATTTGATGGTGACTATGAGTTCACTGCTGACGAACGGCAAGATGTCATAATTGCCGAAGAAAAAATATATGCTGCAAAAACTCTCCGAATCAATTACACAACATACAATGTTCGTCGAGACCAAGATGTCATTAATCCCCATACAGACCACAACACTATCATGCTCAAATCTCCGGATACCAACCCAGATGCACACCCATATTGGTATGCTCAAGTGCTTGGAATCTTTCATGCAGATATCATCCATTGTGATTCAAAGCTTGGATTAGTCAAATCGAGAAAGCAGATGGAATTTCTCTGGGTGCAGTGGCTAGGAACCGAGCCGGATTATCGTCCTGGTCAAAAATTTGCAAAGCTCCCTAAGGTCGGATTTGTTCCCGAAGACAAAGAATTTGCATTTGGCTTCCTCAATCCTTCCCAAGTCATTCGGGCTTGTCATCTTATTCCGGCCTTTGTTCATGGCAAAAGCAATGATCTCCTGGCTACTAGACTTCCGACTGCAGCAAGGAAAGTTGGAGAGAGCGAAGATTGGTTGAACTATTATGTGATGATGTAAGGTGAACCACCATCGTCATCAATAGACATTGATACTCACCTTTCAATAGTTTTGTGGACCGTGACATGTTCATGCACTACCACGGGGGAGCGATTGGCCATATCGATATCCGGCAATGCTGGGATACAGACTCGATACCTGAAGGTGACGAAGACAATGATACGAGTGACATTGATTTTACAGGCCCCGAAGATGTCCTCACCCCAAACTTTGATAGCGAGTTCGAAGATGGCTCAGATGCATTAGAGAATGTTGACAGTGATGATTCTGAGGCAGGGAATCAGATTTGGCTGTGTAATTATCTTGCCCCAGCTACTGCAGAGAGTTCTGACATAGATGACGAGGATTATGATATTGAATAGCAGCTAATAATCACAATGTTTCTCGAAACGCGATGTATTCAGGTGGTAGCGGTGGCATCTCTATCTCATCCACACCCCACATAATAGCATCAGTAAGTGCGGCACCAATCCCATTTGCTCGTTCCGCCATAGTACCAACAAGTCGATGCCACAGAGCCAAATGGGCCCTATGAATAGCAAGTTCACCTTCGAGTGAGTCCAAATGTTGCTGATACCATGCCAACATGATGTCCTTTGCATCGAAAGGTGCCTGTGGCCCTAGAAGGCAGTTCATAAAAGTTGCATGGAATGGAATAAAGAAAGCGCACCGAGATTGTTAAATGAAGATGAAGACCGACGAGGGACATAAAGATCAGAATGAGGAGGCATACTACTGTGGCAGGGATTATTCGAAGATTTGTCATATTCATTGCAGCCTGGGTCACCGTTGTTGAGCCATTTCAGTTGCGCTTCCCGGTATATAGCTTCCTGATTCGCTTGAGCTTGCGAAAGGCTGTGAACCCAATTCAACAATGATTGCTGTGAGGTGGTGAACTCAATTTGACTAGTGGTGGGCAATTGACTTGATATGTCATCGGAATGTCTATGTACAAAGACTTAGCTCGAGAGCATTGAAGACAGATAGTTACGCACATCGAATCCATGACACTTTGCTCTGCATTCTTTACTTCCACTTGTGAACCCTCAGTTGTGTCACTGTCAGAAACATGAAAAACAGAGAAATCAAGAAATTGTACTGCCTACTTTTGAGACTCAAGCTCTCTGTGATGGTGAATAGGACTTGAAAGGTCGCCGTCAAACCCACCATCCGAGACATATCCATCTACGGTCACAGTAAGTTGAGTCTCCAATGACAACGGTAACTCTTTATGTCGTTTACGGGGAGGCGAGTTTTCTGAGAAAGTGCGTCGATGGGACATGGCCCAGATGATGATGATTTGGCAGATTGGATTTGGAAAACAAGATTGAAGATCACGAGAGAGTTAACAGCTACAACGATGTGTTGTCTAATAAAGTATAACCAATGGTATATACTGCACGTACCTCGAGTGAATATGACAATTTTCTTGCCGCGTGACACCTGGTTAATATACCATCATAATCGAAGGAACATCGAGCTCCATTCCTGCAAGAGGTTGCACACCACATATAAGATAGGTACGAGAAGATAATGTTCTATAAAGTAGGAATACACTTGACGATGATTTGTCGGAAAGTTCTCAGGATTTACGACACTCACAGTCTGTCACAATATCTCACAATCATTCCACCTGTCTGACAACCCATCTTCAATTAGTTGCAAGGTTCCTCCCAGAATATAACCCATTACTTTACAATACAATTGAACAAAATGGTTAAACAATATGATAGTTGACACAATCGCTCTCAAGAACCTTTGCAATTTAGTGATGATATGCATGTTATCTATCGAGGCTGTACCTTCTTCAGTCATCCGCTGAAAAATCTTTTGCGAAATTTCAGGGCAGTCCACTGATATCGTAGGATTCAATACTATCACTGACTCCCAATAAGTGTGATCCTCTTTGCCTCCGGAACATTTCAACCATCTCCAAGCTATGCTTTCAACACTCAAACCGAAATCCGGACAAATCACTATCAAAAGTGTAACAGTACGGATCATTCCTGATCCGGACCGACCCCGACTCGTATATAAGTACTGTATGTTTGTAGAGTAGCGTTAGTTCTCTTCCAATCGCAGCGCTATCCCTGTCATTGCAAGCGACTCTCAGTGTGACTACGTCACATATTTTTGACAGTACAGCGACTACTACTTTCTCCTCTTTTCTACTCTCTCTCGAAAACTACTCAAAACAAAACTCTGGTCGTCGTTCAGGATCCCTCTCAGCTTGATCACCTGGGCTTTTCCGACATCGACCTACTCCCCTCTTCAAAGAAATTTTCTCAAGAAATTTTCCATCAAAAAATGTCTTCGGATGTACCTTCCCGAAACACTTGGTCCAGACGTCTAGGTATGGGCGGTGCTGGTACCGACAGTGCCAAAGGTAAGTCTTCCGACATTCAATTCACTCAAAATTCCACAGCCACCGATTCTGCTGAGGATTCGGCGGCGCAGGATAAGCCTTCCAGTTATGATGAGGTGTGTAGTAGTCATCCCCTCAGGGATGCTGCTATCCCTCACACAGTTTCCACTGCCAACGCTTCCAAAGCTGCGGTTGGGACTGTGGGATCAATTTCGGTTGCCCACAAGGGACAAACAACTGGGGTTGGTCCGGGGTTGGTTTCCCAGGGTGGAAACAACCCCACCGGTTCTGCTAATGCAGATGAGGTCAGTAGCGAAGATGTAAATCACAGTAATGTAGATGAAATTAATGAAAATTCCTCGGGACTTTCATCTGCACCTGACTCTGAAGATGACGGACAAGGTCCGTGGACTACAGTACAATCTCGTAGGTCCAAGAGTCTTGACAATTTGAAGACCCGGAAGGATTTCTTCAAGCCTGATAAGCTCACTAAGGAGCAAAAGGCCACAGTGAAAGCTGCTGAGCAGAGAATGACTCCTGCTCAGCGTGAGATTATAAACAATCGACACATTGCTATTCAGAAACAACAGCAAGCCCGCAGCTATTCTAAGCCGCAAGAAGTAGGCCCGTCATCGTATGTGACAAAGGGCAAATTTGTGGATCACAACAATGAAGTTTGTGATGCCGAGCTCAATATTGAGGTGCAGAAAGCCGAACTCAATCATTGGAACACTGCCCATGGCTCAATTGGTGCAAAGAACATCTCTAGTGATGTGGAGTCAGAGATATCTGACAAAAGTTGACGTCGGCTCCGTAAGAATTACCATCATAAAAATGGATCCCAGCGGCGCAAGTCCCGGAATAGTAAGAGTGAACACTCAAACTCGGGAACTGATGATAGTGCCAATGAGCATAAAAAGACTAAGACATCTTCGAGAAGTATTTTTAAGGATGTCGAATCCTTGAAACCTATTTCTTCTCACTTTGCGAAGAAGATCAAGGATATTGCCAAGGGTCATCAGACCACATCGAAGTCCACTACTCACCATGGTAGGCACCTGTCGACACAACCTGTTGACCAACTTCCGCAGGATAGCTTGCTGGCACGGATGATAAAGACCAAGAAACGGTCCAAGAAGTCAATCAAAAATCATGAATCGACCTCTGATTCTGATGCAGACTCAGAGTCCTCAGACTCTGAATCACGCTCTGAGTCTATGAGCTCAAATGGTTCTTCGAGTTCCTCCTCCGAGGAATTAGACAGTTCAGATGAGTCTGTCCAATATGTGAGTGACACCGTCATCGCAGCCGCTCCCACAGCCAAAAACGCGGTGGAAGGAAGTCCAAGAAAAGGACTTACAACCGGATTATCAAACCTGTCCCACCATCGATATGGAATGGTGAAGCTGATGCCGAGGTATTCCAGAGGATTGTGCTGGAAGGATATCAGTTCTGCAAAGAAGGAAAAATACCTAAGAACGAGCAGGTATTTTTAATCTCACACTATCTTTCAGGCAAAGCATATCAATTCTTTGCATTAAAAGTTGCTAAGAATCACAGCAAGTGGTCATTACAGGAATTTTATGAGGGCCTATTCAACTACTGTTTCCCTGTGAACCACCGTGAGCAAATGCGAACAAAATTACGGAAATGTTACCAGAATGGACGTACTGTTTCTGAGTATGTCCATGAGCTTGAGAGTATCATGGATCACGTCGGTATCATGAGCCAACGTGAGAAAGTTTTGAAGCTCTGGGATGGCTTGAGCCCCGGTATGCGATATGAGCTCAAACGTGCTCGGGTTAGTAAGGAAGTCCATTCCTGGCGCCGTATTGTGCGCGAAGTTGAACTTATTGAGCTAGCTGGGTTTGAAAAAGATCCCAGTCCTCGTTTCGCACCAAAACAGCCAGACCGTCTTTATTTCAATAAACGGGATAAGAATGGTCGTTTCCGACAGCGTTACCATAATAGCTCAACCCGCGAGAAAAGTGAGCCAATTCAGACTGCACCACAGTCCACTCCAGCCCCACCAAGTTCATCTGCACCCTGAAATTTGGCACGTTCTGATAATTCAGTTCGCCATAACAAGAATGACTATCAGAGTGGCCGGGGTAGACCTCAGACTAACCATGACCGTACATCCCAAACTACCCATACATCCCGAAGTACCCGAAAACCTGATTCGGACGGAAATTGCTATAAATGCGGGCAACCAGGCCACTTTGCCCGAAATTGCCCCAGTAATAACATTGTTCATTCAAGGAACAATGGCCCA